GAGTAGTGGTACTTACAACAAGAATTGTTGACAACCTACCTCATTTGCCATGTGCCAGAATCTTTACATTATCTCAATGCATCTTCACAGCAACTTAGGAGATAGTCATCATTTTATCCCTACTTTCCAATTAAGGAAAACTAGTTCCTGAAAGGCTACATATGCTCCTAAATATTGGTGGCAGGTCTAGGACCGATCTTAACTGTCTTAGAGTTCCAGTTCACAACAATTGCTCAATTTGAAGGTCAGTAGAGTTAGAGGGATTTAACCCCATGTTTCCTCCTCCCTGAGGGAAGCAGCTGAGGCTGAACTGCCTTGGTTTATGTTTGAATCTTGGCTCAAGTCTCATCAGCTCTGTGACTTTGAGCTGGTTAGCTTCAATTTCACCACCTGCATAACAGGGCTGATAACATTATTACCCCAAAGGACTATTAGGAGATAATGCAGGTAAAGCTCTGCCTGGATCTAGTTGGTGCTCTATAAATGTTGATTACTACTGCACTGTTGTTTCCTGAGTGTCCTGATTAGTTTACCCTGAGTCAAGCTGTATTACAGTCCCAAGGCCATGGCCTCCAGAGCTGTTGCTGACCAATGATCCAGAGCCTATATGACTATATCATTATTGTCCCTGCTGACCCTGTCGCTGATTCTGCTATGCCTCTGGCCCCACAGCGCTGCTGCAGTGATCCACTGCTGAGGGATCCTGCCCCTCTGCTGCCCTGCTTCCTTCTGCCACTGACATATTAGAGACCTGCTGGTTGTCCATGTTTACACAGAACATTCTCCCTTGTTAGTGCTCTTAGTTCTGATTACACAAGGGGAGGAGGGAATGGAAGTTTCCCAGGTTCAGGACGTTTTCTGGATCTGTTTCCCATGCTAACTCAGTTCCTACGTTTTCTGTACTTTGAGAGTTGCAATGTTTCAGCATAAGTAACCACTAGGTGGCAGGGGTGTTTCACTACCCAGTTCATTACCTTCTTTCCACCCCCTTGTAATCTCAATTACAAGCAAGATTCTGTTCCTCTCCAAATGAATGAGTTGCTTTTAAATCAACTTACTTATCAATATGAAATTCAACGAGAACAATAAATTTTATGTACATTCTCTTGAAAATTCAATATGATGTTACTAATTCCATGGGGTTATATTACTAAAGCGGTTTTACACCCTTTGGCTCGAAAGGGCATGGGAAAAGTAAATAAACCTCTGCTTGTATAGGGCACAGCCAAAGCTGTTTTCCTCTCTAGTTGTTAACACCCAACAGGACAAAGGTCCTTTGGGTTGGAGGTTCATGGACTCCTAGGCTACCATTGCATTAATAGGACCGTAAATGCATCTCTTATTTCCCGGTGAGGTCCCCAAAGATTTTCCTAGAGGAGATGGAATTTCAGTAGCTTATTGAGTGAGAAGCAGGTGTAAGAGCATCCCTTTTTTCAATTAACTCCCCACAGGAATCCAACCTGCCAAGTAGGATCCCCTTTTAATAAAATACCTTGGGAGGTAAGAATAAGGGAGGAGAGGTAGAGGAAAGCCCAGGAATGTTAATAAAACCCTCATCTTACAGTGTGGGGGATCAAGAGATGCTGTATATAGTTGATAGAGCAAACAGATGTTTAATATATCACTTAAACTTACAAAGGTAAATTTAATGTAGAGAAACAAACTACATCAGGTTATAACTATAATGGCAGGAGAAGGTAATGTTAATAGCTAAACTTCACGTATCATAACAGAGTCCATAGATAATACCTACAATTGAAAAAGCAAGAAATGGCACTACATGCATGTTATTTAGAAACATGGAGGTAATCACCATAGGAACCAAAAACAGAAGTGGCTAATAGTCCTTGCCTCTGTAGAAGAGGAAAGGAAGGGGCTGGGCAGGGGAGTGGCTGTACTATTTGACTTTCTAGCCATGACATTGTTTTACCTTAAGAATAGGCAAGGATAGACAGATATTAGGGTAAAAACAGATATTCAGCTTCATGGGAACAACTACCACTGCATTCCTAATTTATATGACTATATCTGATATGAAATAAGCATTTGCTTGTTTACTCTTCGGTCACTTTAGTTTAATATAACCACTACTACCAGTTAGAAGGAAGTTAGAGGCTTCAATTTCCACCCTAATATGTTACTTGTCCAAAACTGACATTTTCTAGCAAGGATCCATTTTAGTCAATATTTTTCACAGCAGATCATCAGGGTCTTTCTGACGTAAACTAAACCAGAATCCTAAAGAGCAAATGTATCCATTTTTACTTCCTCTGAGGCATTTTAGCCCAAGTTCTTTATCATACATCCACCAGCAGAGTAGGTTACTCTGGACTAGCAAATAGAATAGAGAATGTGCCATAAACTTAGAACCTACTAAAAGCCTTTTGCAGGGAACAGCATTAGGCCAGAATTTAGTAACTTTGTTTTGTTTTCATTACATATTTTTGGCAGGGGGGAGGGGGGAGCTGGCCAGTACAGGAGCTGAACTGGTGACCTTGGGTTTATAAGGCCATGCTCTAACCAACTGAGCTAACCAGCTGGCCCAATTATATTTATTTTTAAGGGCACCTTCTATTTTAATAATGTGTCTGGCAATGTGTTAATCTCATTTAAATCTCCCAACAAATTTAGGAGGTAACTATCATTTTGCAGATGAGGAAACTGCCAATGAGTTTCCTTTTTCCTTTATTGAGCTATAATTCACATAACATAAAATTTACCACTTTAAATATTTTAAAGTGTACAATTCAGTGTTTCTTAGTATATTCACAATAATGTGCAACCATCACTACTACCTAATTCTAGAACATTCTCATCACCCCAAAAGGAAACCCCATATGCTTTAGCTATCACCCCCTACCTCCCTATTCCCCCCAGCCCTAAACAACCAGTAATCTGCTTTCTCTTTCTGTATTTGCCTATTGCGGACATTTCATATAAATGGAATCATGGATGTGGTCTTTTGTGTCTGGTTTCTTTCACTTAGCATGTGTCCAAGGTTCTTCCATGTTGTATTATGTACCCATACTTCCATTCCTTTATATGACTGAAAAATATTCCATTTACGGATCTATCATAATCTTATGGACATTTGGGTTATTTCCACTTTTTGACTATATGAATAATGCTGCTAGGCACATTTGTGTACACATTTTTGTTTGAACACCTGTTTTCAATTCTCCTGAGTATGTACCTAGCAGTGGAATTAGGTAATATGGTAACTCTGTTTAACTTTTTGAGGAAAGGCTAAATGTGGCTATACTATTTTGTATTCCTATCAGCAATATGTAAGTGTTCCATTGCTCCACATCCTCACTATATCTTGGAACTGTCAATTTTTTGTTTTTTAATTTTAGACATTTGAATAGGTATCCCGTTGTGGTTAATTTTCATTTCCCTAATAACTAGTGATGCTGAACATCTTTTCATGTGCTTACTAGCCATTTGTGTATCTTTGGAGAAATATCTAAGTCCTTTGCTCATTTTTTTATTGGGTTATCTTTTTTGTTGTTGAGCTCTAAAAGTTTCATTTTAAAATAAGCCAACTTTAAAAAAATGTGTTTAATGAAAAACATTTTTATTTATTTTTATTTTTATTTTTATTTTTTTTCGTGTCCGGCAACGGATCGCAACCCTCGGTGTTGCGCCCGCTCCTCGCTCAGCCAGTGAGCGGGAACCGGTCTGTATGTGGGATCCGAACCCTCCGGCCAGCATTAATGAAAAACATTTAAGTGTTGTTTAATAGTCCAATCGGACAAAAATAGCGAAAGCACTATATAAATCAGGAACTCATTTGAGCAACATTGGCAAAGGAGTTAAGAGCAAGAATTCTGGAGTCACACCATCTAGGTTCAAGTCCCAGCTCTGCCTCTAAATTGTTGTGCATGATGTCTTGGGAAAGATATTTAACCTCTTTTGAGACTAAGTCTCTCGTCTTTAAAACGGGATCAGCCCTGCCACTTCATAATTGTTGGAACAAATGAGATGACGCCTGCGAAGCGCTCACCCAGCGCTCTATAAATGTTAATTAGCCATTACTACGAGTGGAGATGAGGGTCGCCACCCTCCAGCTTCGGTTTGCAATGATCCGGTCCCCTGCCGCACAGAGATTTATGCGCATGCTCCTGTCTCCACGACCTTGTCCAGGCGGTTGCCGCCGTGCCCCGCACTTTTGTTTCCGGGGGCAGCGAGGCGGCTTCCGGCGGCGTGACCTGAGCACGCTGTGTCCACGGGGTGCTCAAGCCGGAAGGATCTGTGCTGGCAGCCGGTAACCGGGTGGCGGGTGGGAGTGGCCGAGTGTGGCGCCTATGTCCCTTCAGCGTCGGGAGGAAGGGGCGGCCTTCGTTTTGCGGTCGGGGCGGCTCCGAGCCGCACCTCAGCCGGGTCCAACGGCGGATACCGTCTCGCCGCCTCTCCCTGGCCTTCTCCCGCTTCCCGGGATTCCCGTAACCGCGGGCGTTGCGGGTAGAAGTCGGGAGACGGGGTTTTCTGCGCCACTGCTGGGCTTTCTGACCTTGGGGAGGACACGTTCTTTCACTGGCTTCAACTGCCTTATATAGAAGGAGATCGCGTTCAAAGTGATCTTTAAGGGCCCGAACCGATCTATTAATGTTAAATACTGTCACCTGTCCCTGGTACAACACAAGGACAGTGTAGGCACTCTGTGCCTTATCAAGTTGTTTTGAGTCACAAACCCTTTGAAAATCGGGTGAGAGCCATTGATCCCCAAACACTCAAATATAGGAAATTCGGTTTACTGTTTCATGTGTTTCAGAGATCTTCCCTGATGCCCATTTGTGGATCCCAGAGCCTGGCATGTAGTAGGCATTTAAATATTTGTTGTTATTAAATAGTAGGTGTTAGGCTGGCTGGTTGGCTTAGTTGGTTAGAGGGCGGTGTTGATAACACCAAAGTCAAGGGTTTGGATCCCCGTACCGGCCAGCCGCCAAAAAAAAATAGTAGGTGTTCAGTTAATTATTTTTAAATTACGAATCATTGTCAGGGTCACAGGAGGGAGGAAGATAGATATCCTATTAAGTTTTAATTATTGGCCTGGCAATGTGCTACTTTCACTTAAATCTCCCAGCAACTCTAGGAGAGAAGTATTATTTAATCCCCATTTTTGGGCTTGGGAAAATTGGTCATTTAACCTATGAATGGTGGAGGCCAGAATTCAAACCCATATCTACCTGAAACTCCAAAGCCTCATAATCGTAACTGCTAGCTAAAAGCACTAGATGCAGAAATGTGTTTGAATGTGCTCTAGCATCCTCTGTTTTTATTAACTGTTGTAGTTATGAGATGGCTTTTATCAACATAGATAACTCTGAACCAAATATTGTATACTGTGGAAATAATACCCTTACTGGCCTGCCTCTTCTTCCATGTACCTTTATTGCCTGTTTAATAATAACATCATCTTTTACAACCTGCACTCTGACCATATTTATTCAACTCTTTTAACTTTGTTGAATACTTAATCAGATGTGCTGATTGAATATGTCTATATCAGACAGTGACTGTGAGACAACCCTCTGGGATCCGAAGGCACGAGGGAAGGTGTGTGGTTCTATCAGTTGTAGTGTTATATCAGTGTGTTGCCTGGTTCTTCCTGCCTTTCAAAGCAAATATTTTTAAGTATAGCTGAAATAAAAAGTGATAATGTTTGGATTTCTTTTCTGTACTGCTTTTAAATGGACTGTGTTAGGGTTCTTGCAAGCACTGCCAGTATGTCTGACATTCAAGAAGCTGCTAACCAATTCCTGGATGTGAATCTTCATGAGGACGAGAGTTCTATACAAGTGACAGACAGTGGCCTCAGAAGTGAGTCTGAGCAACTCCAAGTCATTATTGGAGCCACTGTACCTACTGGCTTTGAGCAAACAGCTGCAGATGAAGTGCAAGAGAAATTGGGGTCATCATGCAAAATCAGCAAAGACCGGGGCAAGATATATTTTGACGTTTCAGTGGAAAGGCTGGCTCAGGTTTGAATGAAGCAATATTTAAAGTAGTTTTCTATATTGGTCATTTTATACTTCCTTTCTAGTTTACAGACCCTTTTGGAATCCTTTTTGCTTTTCATGGCTCTGCCCTAAATCAGGAGATATAAAATATTACTGCATTTTCTATTGGGTACCGATTTGTAAGTTTGACTTGTAGGTTTGCTATATTTTTAGAAGTGATCCCAGTATTTCCAGAGGATTTAATTCACCAGAAAGAATCCTTATGTGACTTTTGAAGAAATTCTGAGTATCTCCTATACTTCTTTTAATTTATTTGCTTCAGCATCTAGCTGAAGATTAGACTTTGATGATGAAGCATAAAAGTGATTTTTCTTTTAATCTGTGTCAAAGAAATTCTTGCTCAGAAGTAACAAGAAATCACTTAAGGTGAGAAGTGAAGGTCAGCAAACAGCTGTCCCACTATAACAAAAGCTTAAGATATATCTCATTACCACATAAGCAACATGAAGGCAGAGATTGTTTGGTTTTTTCCTGCCAATATATCCCAAGCTCTTAGAGCTTGGCATATAGTAGGCGCCCAGTATATATTTGGTAAGCAGGTATTTTCCATTCTATATTTTGGTTAATACCTTCAACAACTTTGTGAAAATAAACATTATTATCCTCTTTAATCATTAGGTTTAGGAAGATTAAATAATTTGCCCAGTGTCACTTGGTTAGTGACTAATCACAGAGCTGGAGCTCAAACTCAATGCTTTTAGCCACTGCTATACACAGTGTACCTTGGAGAGCCATGAGGGAAATATGATAAAGTCCCACTTGATTGTCTTCATCTTTCCCTTCTCCCCCAGTGTTGCCCACATAACACTTCAAGTTTCTGTCTTTCCATCTGCCCTTCCCTTTTTTTAGGGGAAAAGCAGAAGCTGATGAGTAACCAAACAGATGGGGGACTAGGGAGATGGGAAATTTTAGAAATATAAAATATGGTATTAGCTGCTTTAAAACCATTGTACCAACTTTTAAAAAATATTTAATTGTTGATAGCTTGTGTTATGCAAAAGATTTCTTAGGAGTTTGTTTCTAACTTTTTTTTTCTCCCCAGGTTCATTGTCTGAGATCAGTTGATAACTTATTTGTAGTTGTTCAGGAGTTTAAAGATTACCAGTTCCAAAAAACAAAGGTGAGCTATCCCAAACATGGTAGTTGATTTTCAGCCATCTTCCCCAAAGAGATTATTTCCACTTTTCACATTCTGTCTATCTTTTAGCATTACTATTGCTTTTATAATAGAGGCATTTACGATAAAAGCCAGAGATATGATGACAGTCCATCCCAAAAGTCATTTTTCCTTTTTTTTTTTTTCGTGTCCGGCAACGGACCGCAACCCTCAGTGTCGCGCCTGCACCGGACCGGGACCGGCAACGGGATCGCAACCCTCGGTGCTGCGCCCGCCCCTCGCTCAGCCAGCGAGCGGGAACCGGTCCGTATGTGGGATCCGAACCCTCGGCGGGAGCGCCGCCGCGCTTCCCAAGCGGC